AAAGTTACAGCTGTTTCATTTGCAATATAAATTTAATAATAATTAAATATATGATTGACTTGGCAAGTGGAGGCTTTACCACTCATTTCAGGATAGTTTACTTCATTGGCTCCTAAGGCCTAATTTGTAAATGAGTTATATTTTATATCATATGTGGGTATACAGGATTCACTGTTTATCACACATTGAGATATGGAGGCAACTTTCTGTATATATTGGATGATGGCATCCCACAGAATTTTTTCAGAGTTGCATATATGGAATGTTGTTAGGCTCATCAGTAGTGGAGAGCAAATCTTGTTTGCTGCCACCTTTATCACCTTGGTCTATGTTTCTTGCCCTCCACACCCCACAACATCCACGCCCCTCCACAACCACACCCATCCCTCTACATGTCAACACCCTCCACTTCCAACCCTGCACCTTCATGTCATGGGAAAGATTGGATTGATGTTGAGGTATACTATAGAAGCAGTTACTTTTCAGGAAAGTAGATAATCGACTTTTCGGGGAAGTAGATTATCGACTTTTGGGGAAATATTACCTTATTTTTCAAAGTAGATTATCATAGGAAACGGGAAATTTGTATCACAGAAAATGGGAAATATCTACTTTCTGGGAAAGTTGGTTAGCTACTTATCATAGAAAACGGAAAATTTGTATCATAGAAAATGGGAAATATCTACTTCCGGAAAAGTTGGTTAGGAAATATTTCCCAAAAAGTCGATACTCTACTTCCCCAAAAAGTAGATAATCTACTTTTCTGGAAAGTAGATGTTTCACATTTTCTATGAAACAAATTTCCCCTTTTCTATAATAATCTACTTCAGAAAATTAGGTAATATTTCCCAAAAAATCGATAATCTACTTCCCTGAAAAGTAGATAATCTACTATCCCGAAAAATAGATAATCTACTTTCCGGGAAAGTAGATAACCAACTTTCCCGGAAAATAGATATTTCCCATTTTCTATATTACACATTTCCCGTTTTCTGTGATAAGTAGATAACCAACTTTCCCAGAAAGAATATATTTTCCATTTTCTGTTATACAAATTTCCCGTTTTCTGTGATAAGTAGATAACCAACTTTCCCAGAAAGAATATATTTTCCATTTTCTGTGATACAAATTTTCCGTTTTCTATGATAATCTACTACGGAAAATAAGGTAACATTTCCCCAAAAGTCGATACCTACTTCCCCGAAAAGACGATAATCTACTTTCCTGAAAAGTAGATAATCTACTTTTCGGGAAGTAGATAACCAACTTTCCCGGAAGTAGATATTTTCCCATTTTCTATGCTACAAATTTCCCGTTATCTATGATAATCTACTTTGGAAAATTAGGTAATATTTCCCCAAAAGTCAATATCTACTTCCCCAAAAAGTCGATTATCTACTTTCCTGAAAAGTAGATAATCTACTTTTCGGGAAGTAGATAACCAACTTTCCCGGAAAGTAGATATTTTCCCATTTTCTCTGATACAAATTTCCCGTTTTCTATGATAATCTACTTTGGAAAATTAGGTAATATTTCCCAAAAAGTCGATAATCTACTTTTTGGGAAAGTAGATATTTTCCCATTTTCTATGACACAAATTTCCCGTTTTCTATGATAAGTAGAAAACCAACTTTCCCAGAAAGTAAATATTTCCCATTTTCTATGATACAAATTTCCCATTTTCTACGATAATCTACTTTGGAAAATTAATATTTCCCCCAAAAGTCGATAATCTACTTCCCCGAAAAGTGGATTATCTACTTTCCTGGAAAGTAGATATTTTCCCATTTTCTATGATACAAATTTCCCGTTTTCTATGATAAGTAGATAACCAACTTTCCCAGAAAGTAGATATTTCCCATTTTCTATATATATATAGAAAGTATATATTTCCCATTTTCTATATATATATATATATATATATATATATATATATATATATATATATATATATATATATATATATATATATATATATATATATATATATATATATATATATATACGGTATGTATATATATATATATATATATATATATATATATATATATATATATATACACACACACAGTCGGCCCTTAACATACGCGGGTTTATAATACATGGATTTGCAAATACGCGGATTGCCCCGCCGGAGGAATATTCTGTACATTGAAGTAATTGAAGTACATTCAAATCGCGCGCCAGTCAACTCGCGCGCGGCACCGAACACTGGACATCGCCGCTCCCGCAACCTCTCACTCACACACACACACACACACACACAGCTCTCCCTCACTCAGTCAGTCTCGATGTAACCACGCTTGTGTTGACATCAGCATTGTAGTTGCAAAAATATTACATTTCCATGAATGTATTATATCAAGCACAGTATGAATAGAATATCACTAACATAAGAGTATTTTAACCGAAAACTACTAAAAAAACGAGTAACATATCTTGAACATCGGAAGGTTAAGTAAAGTCTCTTGTTTTCGTCATGTATTTTATCCTATTTTACATTGAAATACATCACGTTTCAGCAAAACTACTATTTATTTCTGAGAATATATTCATTCAGGCACAGCTTAGGTAAAATATACATGTGCTGTAACATTTTTTTAATTGAAAACGATTCGAAAAACACGTACCCTCTAGCCCTGTTCAAGGAGAAGACTGGGAGGAGCTGTTTTGGTGCTTAAGACGATGACAAGGAAAATGATTTTGATGGATTTTAATGAAAATATTCAGAAAGACCCTGGCAAGGAAAGCGGCTGCTGAAGGCTTCCAGGACATGGCAGAGGAAGAGATTAGGGAGCTAATTGAAGAGCACGACACTGAGCTGACCGAGGAGGATCTACAGGAGTTAGTAGACTCAGGCAAGGAAGAGGAAGCGAAAGAGGATGAGGAAGAGGAAGAGCACCAAGAAATAATGTTGGAGAAGTAGGGGGAGACGACCAGGAATATTGAGGCACTGAAAAATCTGGCCTATAGTATGGACCCCTCCATGGTGTGTGCCCTGAAATTCATGCGAGGGATGGATGACGTTTTCGCTCCATACAAAAACATCATGGAAGAAATGAAAGAAAGAGACGACAACTCCCCATCACCATGATCTTTGATCACCGAAGGAGAGATTTAACACCAATCAGTGGCGGCAGTGAGGAAGCAGCTGAATCCACCGTCGCCCCCACTTCACCACCCGTTATGGAATTGAGTGACGATGAGCCCAATGACCCCCGTCCTGTCGCCGAGGATAGGAACTGTACAGTAAAGTGAAATTTTTATCTCTATTTGTTTAATAGCTTTTCTTGCCATGTTTATTGTTTGTAAAAATGCACAGCACAGTACAGTTCAGTACTGTACATAGGAAGTGGAGGTGCAGTTATTCACAAAACATTTGTGTTTGTTGTCGACAGTAGTGACGGTGAGGAGGCGGAGGAGGGAGCGAGTTGGGAGGAGTGGTGACCTTGGACTCGGAAGCAGGGACGAGATGCCAGCCAGTACATTATGGGTGTATTAATTGTTTTTATAGCTATTTTTGCATTTGAATATTAAATACTGTACATTACGTTTCAACAGAACTACCATTTATTTCTGAGAACATGGAAATGTAATATTTTTGCTGAAATGATGTACGTATTACAGTGGAAAGTGACGAAAGCAATGACTCGCTTTCTTTCGTTCAAAAGATGTTACCGTAATCGCTTTTCGAATGGTTTTCAGTTGTGGGATTATAAGGCTAATGATAGGATAGAATATTATTGTAATACAGTACGAGTACAACAGTTTTTTAACCGAAAACCATTCGAAAAGCGATTACGGTAACATCTTTTGAATAACGAAAGAAAGCTTAAGTCATTGTTTTCGTCATAATTTTATCTCCTTTTCCACTGTAATATATTCGTCATTCCAGCAAAAATATTACAGTTCTATATTTATTTCTGAGAAAACGTATATTCATTCAGTCACAGTTAAGGTAAAATATACTTGTGATGTAATATTTTAATGAAAATACGGTATCGTAGTTTTCTTTTGTTTCAAATTTAATTAACAAAGATTGATGTTTCAAATGTAATGAACAAAAATTTATGTCCAGTATCTATAAATAAACTTTAATAAATGAATACTTTATGTTTTACATCGTCCTGTGCTACCATACCATGGATTTGGCTACTTTGGGCTTGCTATGATGACGCAAGAGATCTGCCCTGGCAACTGTACCGACACTCACAGCGGGTGGTGCGTTGGTGCATCGTTTCCATTGTTTACTGGTAGTTACTGGTAAATATTTTTCAACCTAACGAAACTATTACCCGTTTAGAGGTCGACCCCCAATTTTTTGCCCAAAAATTTGGTCTTAAAAACTCGAACTACACGGGTATATACGGTAATGGACATATATATATATATATATATATATATATATATATATATATATATATATATATATATATATATATATATATATATATATATATATATATATATATATATATATATATATATATATATTATAATTTTAAAAATTTTCAAGTAAATAATGTTGATAAAGTTAACATGTGTCTTGTGTCTGTGGCTTATGCAAGCCAAAAAATTAAGTCAAATATTGTTTACCAAGACATACAGAAACACATGTTATAGGTGAAAATTATATATCGGAGTCATACTTCAACTCTTCAAATGAGAGCTACTTCAGATTTGGCCCCCTGACTACTCACATAAGCATAGATATTTTATTTGATTTTAGTCTTATGACTGTCTGGACTGTGTTGCAAATATGAAAAGATGAATTTAAAGTAGTACAGTATACAGCACTGTGCTTATTCATATAAGTCATTTGGCTCATTATCTGCACAAACTGCTATGGAGACATAAATCAAGATGGAAACTAAAGCTACTGTATCTGTACTAAGAGAATATTACTACAATAAATCTATCTATTGTAGTAATGGACCATTAACCATGTTTAAATAACATTGCAATTATGTTTTATTTTAAAGAAAGAAAAGTCTACTTACCATTGAGGGAGATGCTGAATGTGAGAAAAGACTGGACGCAGAAGGTGGGGGAAGAGGTGGAGGAGGAGGCATATGAGGAAGAAGGTGTTGATGAACGTGTGTATGTTGGTGTTGGTGGTGGTGCATCTCAGCACGTAGAAAGGCAGGGGGAGCACCTAAACCCCCTAAACTTGCAGGACCAAGACCCAAAGTACGTTCTTGTTGGGCTAAAAACCGAGAGTCCAGCTCCCTACGTAGAAGATCTGCTTGGCCTGCAAAAACTAATTCTTGTAAGCATTTGTGGATTTACATACTTGTGGGCAATAAATTAAAGAAATTAATACTATAGATCAAAATAAACTGCATAGAGAAATACAGTATACATGGTAATTTGCTACTTGAGGGGATTAAATATATTTGTTCTCTGTCATCATCAAACATCAATACAGTTTTGTACTATACTTTCACTTTCTCTGCAACTCTATCAATAAGTCTAATACTGTACATAATCCAATTTTTTTTATTCCTTAATCTTATTCAGTATCAACTCAGGCAAACTGCAAGTCATATGATTCCAGAACAATGTTGATCTTCAGCAACAAAGAGACCTTCTCCACACTACAGTATGAAACAACAACCTTTTTTGTGCAGGAGCAACAGCTACCTACTCAGCATAGGGACCACTTCTCTCCAAAAATTTGCTTACCTTCTTCTAACACTCCTCTATGACAGAAAATATTCCCTTAAAATGGATAACACTGTACCAAATCTACTATGGAATACAAAGAAAATCCTAAACTAAATAGCACTCATCCGATAACACCATAAAATATGACAGGAACACTTTCATTGGGTAACATGATACAAGTTATATTTTGGAATAAAAACAGGTATATGCCCTGAAATTCCACCACCTACACTATGGAGTACAAGTATAACTTACCACCTTAAATTGAGATTTCTATCTACTGTATTTAGCTTCTGCAATACTACTACATTCAATGCAAGATGTGATAATGGTAATAACTGTGATAATTTTACTTACCAAGGGGGTCAGGGTTCAGGTGAGAAGGAGGAATAAGGGAAGAGGAGGTAAGTTGTTGCGAGGGGTGTGGAACAGGCGGTGCGAACATGCCCGTAGGCGGCAAAGGAGCAGAGACTGGGGGAGGAGCAAGGGGAGGGAATGAGGGCAACGGTAACGGCGGACGACTCAAGGAAGATAATCTGGCTGAATTGCTAGACGCTAGACTGGATACCGAACTGAAATGAGAGTCAATCATTTAGTCATACCAAAATAAACACTTTCTTACCAATTAAATAAAGCAGTTTAATCCTGTCAAATATTTATCATTGTACACTATAATAAATAATACCATATAATAATAAAAATAAAAGAGTACTGTACTGTACTATATAGCCTTGATGATAAGGAGAACCTCGCATTTTTTTTTATTTTTTTTTTTACTTTCAATATGCAGTACTGTAGGAATTGGTATTAACATTACTAAAAACTTATTTTGTCTTGTTTAAAAAAATATACCATTTCTATGGAATGGCTACTGAAGACAAAAAGCTTTTGTTCTTCCACCACTTTTTAAATAACTACTGTACCTGTATTAGCTTCAGAGGGAGAGGAAAATTTGTCTTTGAACTTTGTTCCCAGAGACAGATTCATTCTGTCACTAATATTGGGAAAATATTTCTTCGCTCTTTGACAGGAGTGGAAAAGACTAACTTCTCCACAACTTTCCCTCTCTGATATTAAGGAAACTAACTTCTAAATTGGAAGGTCAACTGACTCGACTTTAATGTTTTACTGCAAACCTGACAAATGAAAATCAAGACTTGTTTCAAATTGCAAGAACTTTGCCTTAAAAAGAAATCTAATGACTCTGAGTATTACAAAAAAAACATAATCTATGATGAGGACATTTCAAACTAATGAAAACATGTTTGAATATTATAACATACTTTTTATAAAAAAAAAAATTTTGCATGCATTAAACATATTTATTTATGTACTATAAAGCAAATAGTGAAATAAAAAAAAAGTCTGGGAAAGTCAGAAGTGAGTTCAAAGGGTGTTGTACTATACTGTAGTGTATACATTTACCAGCACTCATAGCAAAATGACATTGATGATTGAGTACATCTATTGACTAGTAAAGCATTTTTGTGTTCAGTTTTGAAGTTTAGAGTAAAAATTATTTTATTTTACAGCTACAATACCATATACAGGTACAAGGGTAAAAGTTGTTCCTAAACCCTAGCCCTCATTTTCCAGTAATCCTGTTAGCCACCAAAACCAACAATAAAAACAGAATCTCCCAACAATATATTTCAACTAACACCATGACAATCCTATTTGTGGCCAGACCCTAACATTTAGAAGTACGTAAAATCACTAAGGTGGACTGAGATATGGTCTATTAAATCAGGTATTCCTCTGACATACACAGCAGTTAGTCACCTCCACTGCTAACACACTAGCTTACATCAAAAGGGTTTTAGCCAATTGTAATTAACTCCTGCCAATTGGCAGAAATAAAGGCAAAAATCCAATATTACCATTAATACAACACAACCTGTCGTGGCCCAATCTATAAATGCCCTGTGAGCTAATTACATATAACTACAAAAACAGGAAATGCTACTGGCAGGATGTTTTTTTTTTTCAAATGGCCAGTAGCTGGGAAGTAGGGATTTGCACCTACAATCCAATATCTATATATACTGTACTGACTAAAAAGCTGAATAGCATTGTGCGTACTTGGCAGTGCGATGTCACAACTTGTTAGCTTCCTACTTTAAATGGTAACATAATCATAAAATAAGTTCCCAGTCATTGATGTCAAGAGGCCTTACCCCCAAATGTAAGTGTTATGTTATAAATACGATTATTAAATGTTCCTTTTGAAGCAATTTTTTAAACCGACATACAGTATTTAAACACAATTTCAAGTTAATTTTTTAAAATAAATACAGTAAATAACAAACCTGGGCCAAGGCCGTGATAATGAAGGTATCGATTGTCCGCTGCTTACAACTGAACTTGCCGAACTGTGAAAGTAAAACACATTGTGTGTAGTAAACATGTATGTTATAATATAGAACAATAATAATAAATAAAGCATCTTACTAAAAACTGGGAACATAATCCGCTGAACCTCATTAAAATAAAAAGTACAATGTAAATACTGTAGGCATTCATAGAACCCTATAATTATGTATGACATTACATCAGGGGTTCCCAAACATTTTCCAGTGCTACCCCATCTAGTGCTATCGCTTGTCCAGTGCGACTCTGTCATTATATATATATATATATATATATATATATATATATATATATATATATATATATATATATATATATATATATATATATATATATATATATATATATATATATATATGATATGTTTATATTATCATAGCTGGAGGTATAATTATGTGGTTAAAAACATAACATAAAATTGTCTAAGTTACAACTCTGTCATATTTCATATCTGACATGTGTGCACCATCATTTGATTAATTTTATATACCCAGGAGTATATAAAGTTAAGCAACATAGCATACAATTTTCTACATTCAAGTTTGATATACGGTTACGGCAATGACTTTTTTTTATAAACACCACTGATGAAAAAGCTGCTTCACAGACATAGGTGCTTCCAAACTGTACCAGAAACTTGATAGCTCAATTTTTAACTGCTGAATGTCTCTTTGATAAACTAATCCAATACTTTGATATGTCATCATAGATGTCAAAATTCACCCTTGCCTCATTGTCAGCCTGTGTCATGGGTTGCATTAGGCTTACCCACGCAACCAACTCCAAAGTTTGTTTTACCAGAGATAAGACGCCCGGCGAGGCATAACTGGGACATGTATTTTTCAATTAGTGTATGTCAGCCAGCCTTTAGGGGGGTGGGCAGTGAAACAGTGTTGTACTGTTCATCGCTTCACACCCAAAAACCTCATTTTAAGTAGTATCCCCTGAGTCATGGGTTAGTTAAGACGTCGTCTCCATCCTCTCCCTCCTGAAAGGGGGCGGGACACCACACCACACAGAGTACTCCACCGCCACTCCACTCCGTCCTGTGAACCGTCGTCGACACGAGACTAAGCGTGTTAACCTAGGTTGTTATCCCCGTGGAAATATCACGTGTGGATGCCTGGTTGCGACAAGAGCAATCCAGGCTGGCCTATCAAACCTACAGTAAATGGTTAATTAATTCACGATTACAGAGTTCTCCTGCACGACACCCGTCTACCGTGACCGTGATCGACACGAGACTAAGTGTGTTAACCTAGGTTTGTTATCCCCGTGGAAATATCACGTGTGGAAGCCTGGTTGCGACAAAAGCAATCCAGGCTGGTCTATTGCACCTAATGGTTAATTCAAGTCACGCTTACCAGTTCTACTTGCCGCGACAACCGTCCAGTGACTGTCAGTGACGCGAGACTATGTGTGGTAACCCAAGAGTACCTTTTTGTTGTTATGGCCGTGGGAAGAAGTTCTTGTGAGGAAGCCTGGTTGCAACAAAAGCAATCCAGGCTGGCATTAAATGTATCACTTGAAGAATTAAGGCTCTGTTAAGTTATACCCATAGTAGAGTAATCACATGTGTCCCCAAGTTAAAATTCTCTTTTAGAAGATTAATTTTATTACAGCGTGAACGTGAGTGAATCATATATCCATGCAAATTGTAAATCATTGTATGGAAGCTTGACAAATAAATGTAAGTGCAATTATCTGCCCGTATCTGTGATCCTATCTTATTATTACTGAAGGTAATGACTGATTGGTTATGACATAGTATAACCAATAACTTAGATGGATGTTGAAAATTAAATGAATTCATTAAATCATCATTTATCAAGTATAAATCATGGAATGTCGAGTGGTGGAGTGAACTTCTACGTAGATACGCCATAATCTCCTGTAAGTAATCAGTGTAAAGGTATCGGACTCTACGGTAAGAAATAAGAAATACGACATATTATTATCCTTATATAATATACTCCTACTCCTACTACCACGGATTCATACCAAAACCATGACAGCCTGTAATTCTGATTATTTCAAACAGGAAAGAGCCACACTGTTTTACATTTGTCATAAGCAGAAACTGAACAAAATTAAAAGATTCAGTAAGCAACTCAGGGAATCTATAATTGAAATTTTCTGTCCGCATCCATGGGAAGTAGAGCGTGAACTGAGCTGAGAATAGTTCAAAGATAGGAGTGTGGATATTCTGTTGCAAACTATTATCAGGACAAGCCTGACCTAGACTGACCTGATATAATGAGAGTACTGTACTGAAAATGCATTAATCCCTTGTCCAAAATTTTGGGTCCCAACTTAACGAGACAGCACCAGTCAGCCTTCAGTCCTTGACACCGGGACTAAAAATAAAAATCATCATGTGACCACCAAAAGACCCACGTGACTCCAGCGACCCCATGAGCTGAAAGGGAACCCAGCAACCCAAAGCTCTATGCGACCCCTTATGAAGTATCTTGCCATTTGGGGTCACGACCCTGTGTTTAGGAGCCACTGCACTACATAATGACTTACACACGAGTGTGGTGACGGTTATGGCAACACATCAGTGAAACAACTTAACAATGACAAGAAAACATCATTAGAGATAATGGCAGAGTACAATACACTTCACTACGTAGGAAAGTTGAATAACTCTTAGTGATTATTCCTGAATCTTGGCTGGACCAGCAGTTTGGGTGTGTGACTCACATACATTAACAGTTTAAGCTGGATATACATTCTAAACCACATTGTCTCTGGTAAAATGTCAGATTCTGCATATGCCCATGTGTTCGTGACAGGTGCGCGTAAAGTAAATTGAACATAGTCCAGGCATTCTGGAACGCGTCAGACAATCAATGGTACGACGTGTACAGGCCTGCATTGAGGCAGAAGGGGGCAACTTTGAACATTTCCTTTATGTTGTAACAAAGAGGGGCCACACTGTAGAGATCTGTGAATAAATGATTACAAAAACCAACGGAGGTTTCACTTCAAATTCACTCCCATTAATACATCTTAAATGTGTTGTAACATGGAAACTATGCAGTATCTGACATTTTACCATAGAGACATTGTGGTTTAGAATTATCCAAGGATTTCATCCTCCAATTTAATGTACTCTTTGCTGAATCACCCTTATTAATATTGAGTTGGCTAAAACTGCTCTGTGAAAACAAAGGCACAAGGATTTTTTCATTGGATGAAAGTTTGTTATTTAATTGGTTGAAGGGCATGACGATTATGCTAGTTGAACAGGTCGCACCTTAATTATAAAATTTTATGTGCAGTATAGAGATATAAATGCTTAAGTCACTGAAGTATACTTGCATATCTCCAATCGTTCAAGTGTTTATATCTGAGGCAATCTTATGTCAACAGATTACACGAAATTAAAAAAAGATATTCTTTAACAACTAACACTTGAAAACAGATATACACAAACATATGAAATGACACAATTTACAGTTAATTTAATTACCTGTAGGGTGAAATATGATGATCGTGAGTCCTCGGCGAGTGTCTTGCAGAAGAGGGTATCACTGACTGTAGATGGGGTGTAGAGACCTTTGTGGCAGAAGGTGGTGTAGAGCGAGTGTAGCCTGGCTCTATCTTTACAGAAGCTGTGGCTGGCACTGGATGAGGAGGGACACTCGAGTTCTTATTTACCGGACTTGGTCGGGCTGTCTCCCCCGGTTCAATCTTCACCCCATAAGGTAAAGAAGGTGCTGCTGGCCCTGGAGGTGGTCCTGTTACTGGAGCTGAAGGCACAGTAACTGGACCACTCGGGGTACTGGGGGTTGGAGGTTTAACAGAAGCAGCAACAGGTGTAGCCCCTATAGGGGATGGATGTGGTGACCGTACGTGATTGCGTGGTGATGCTACTGGACTTGGTTTGACACTATTATAAAGTGTGTGGTTGTGCTGTGGTGTGGGTGACACCAAGGCACTCACACTATACTTGTTCACCGATGTGCCCACCCCCTGGCCACCCCCACCTCCCCCACCCGCTGGTCCATTGCTTACCCGACTACTGTTGCCCACATGATTATGAGTAACACTGGTGGAGGTTGTGGTAGTTGTGGTTGTGGTAGTAGTAGTAGTTGTAGTACCTGTAGTTGTAGTAGATGAGGCCACAGGCTGAGGGAGGTAGTGTGGTGATGGCGAGTGTGAGTGTGGTATATGAGCAGATGGTTGTCGGGGTGGTTGTGGGGGTGTAGGAGTGGGTGTTGTAGGTGTTGGAGTATGAGGTGTATGAAGTGCGGGTGTGTGTGGAGTATGTGGTGCTGGAGTGTGTGGTGTATGTGGTGCTGGATTGACAGTAACTGCTGATGTCACTGTGGTTGTATGAGGTGTATGATGATGAGTGTGAGGGGTATGTGTTGTGGTAAGTGGAAGTGATGGGGTAGTAGTGATGGGGCAGTGATGGGGTAGTGATGGGGGCAGTGATGGGGGTAGCGATGGGGGCAGTGATGGGGGTAGTGAAGGGGGCAGTGATGGGGAAGTGTGTTGTGTGGGAGTTTGGGATATATGTGATTGATGGGAGGGCAGATAGACAGGTTTGTGGTCCCCTGCTGTGGTGACAGTTGGGGGCAGGGCAGAGGTAACAGCACCAGCACTTGGGGGAGGGTAGTTTGCAGGGTAATGCCCCACCTCTACAGGACCGTTGCTGCAACAAAATACAGAAATGTTCAGTTAGAAGGATTTTTTTTATGAATTTATTTTAGCATTTTCCAAAAAGTAAATGGCATGTTTCACAATTTTAAATATTGTATTGTATTCTTTTAACTAATAGCCTTGCCTTATAATGCCTACTGCTGAAATGAAATGCAAATACGCTATGTTGTTACATTTTCTTCTCTTTGAGAGAGTTAGGTTATATTTACCTATAGTTAACGGACATATTACGGATTTACACATCAACTATCTACAATTATACATACCGCAGAGGGATTAGAACACTACACATCAATTCAAATATTATTACTAGTTAAGTTATAAAAAGTATGTCAGTTTAGTTATTAAAAAACAGCAGTTGTACTATACGAGCTATCAAATAAGGGTATTTAGCAAAAATTTTAAAATATCGTTTAGTAATTAAATATCACCTGAAAGTGTGGATAGAATACCATATACTGTATGTGGAATGTTTACCTGTAAGGTGGATGATGAGGATGTTCAGGTTTAACAATTATAGGCTTCGGTGGATCTGTGATATTCAGGCCCGTCCGTATCGATGCTGTACTCTCCCCAAGGCGACCCTCCACAGAAGCTGCAAAAATTAGTTGTCATTATAATAAGAAATATTACACCAAGATAAACAATAATAGTAATAATGTTTATTAGCCCAAAGAGATGGTGTACAGGCTTATTCCTTGTGCTGCACTTCTTACTGGGATCCTTAAGTTCCCTATGTATGATTGGGTATGAACATTCAATGATAACTATATCTGTTCCTTAAACAAAACTAAGAGTTTATTCAGGAAAAGCTTAGTAAAAATATATACTTAATATTAACTCTTTCCATCTAATTATTAAACTGTAGTGACCTAATCACAAGCTGTAAAGGTAAATTAATACTGTACTGTCATGCTGAATAAGATCAGAACCTACACCGTGAGTGGATGATCAAGAGGCCCACCACAACTCCATGCTTTATATATATATAAATATATATATATATATATATATATATATATATATATATATATATATATATATATATATATATATATATATATATATATACACACATATATACATACATACATACATACATATATATATATATATATATATATATATATATATATATATATATATATATATATATATATATATATATATATATATATATTCAACTTTGCAACAAATGCACACTTAATGTCAACATTCACATGAAGTAGTCTGACACTCAGAATATATTTTATTTTTAGTACAATGTTGTCATGAGTTGAACTTTACTCTAAGAGGTTCACTTGGCATCAAGTTTATTGCCTAAATATTGTCAGACATCACCCTTTAAAAGATAAAATTTGTTGCTCAACATAGAAAAAACTATACATGCTTTGAAGTTGTAAGAAAGGTAAGTGGCAGTGTGGCCTTGTGGGTGGGTGCCAAGAGTGTGTAACAGAAATTTCCTGCAAACACTGACATGACATGAACCATTTAATCTTCTCACCTCATTTAAATCTTGCCCTAAGTATACAATTACAATCTGCGTTTTCTTAGTGTACAAAGTTTGTCTTATAAAATATGTTGTACTTTTACAGTAATTTGATATACTGTACTCTGTGTCATACATTCATGTACAGTGTGAGCAGAAATATTAAAAAGTTCACATCACATATATCAGAACTGTACAGTAATATAATATGAATATTGTGTAAAAAAAAATATGGTGATCGAGTACAGTAGTTAACACGAAGCTCATAAACTATAATAGTGTAGTACAGGTATAAAATCCTTGTCTATATCTGAATGCTCTCAGTGTTTGTTGCTCTCAACAGTATGTGTGTTTCTCCCATTACATTACTTTATGATACACGATGTCTCCAACTGTGCCTATAACTGAATGTTTGAGATTTACTAAGCCTTGTTCAAGGTCTTTACTGTTACCTGTACTATTTGTGGAGTTCTGTTTGGTGCCAAAATCAGTCACTTTTCTCCTCGCGACACAAGCATACAAAACAGAGGTGTGAAGATGAAAGGAGGTTAGTTCCAGATAAATGTAACTGCATCTTAGGCGCCATCACAACTGAAAGCTATGTGGATGGTATTTTTTTTTTTTTTTTCAAAAAGGATGCCCAGTTATTTATTCTGGGACCTTCCTCAGCACACGAACTGTCGCCAAGAACCTCAACAACCACGCTTCCCGCTCTTCCACTACATGGATGTAGCTATCACATGAGATAACTTTAGGGATGATAACGTGCTCGTTAAAGCTGTTACAGTTGTGTTCAAGAGTACATCTAGCAGTCATTTGGAGTTGGTCAAGATTCATATCTGTCTCTGGGTCTACAAAACTGCAAAAAGCTAGTTACCACACTTAGCATGATCACCTAGATGGTCAGTGCGACCAGTACTGTATTAGAGGAAAGAAGCTGTGACCTACTTATCACTTACAAAGAGACCACACTGGTACTGCTAAAAACTAGTGTTTTATAAACATCTACAAGATATTGTAAGTTACACCCCCGCTGAGAATGGCGGTATGTAGACTGCATTATGCAGCAGATATTTAGCTTGTGGGGCCGGTATGACTGTAGCAGCCAGCCACACATGCCATGATGGCTGTACCAGTTGCAATCACAAAGACAAGAAGTCTCCTGCTGGCCCGACTCCCAGCACCATGATGGCGGCCGATTGAACACTAGACTACTTGTCTCTGGCCAATGTAAAAACACCATACAACTTGCTTATGATGAAAAAAAATACATCGGTATATCACTACTACAAAAAACGAGACACACACACACATTTGTAATGCTGGTGCTAATGTGAGTTATACAATGACTATTCATGTACATTAAGCTACTGATGGCATGTATACTAATGGGGGATAATGGGATTTAAGCGAATTACAATAAAATTTGTGTATATCAGTATCGTTAAACGTACTAGCAGGCAATAAAATTGTTATACAGTAGAGAGACGGGGAAGCTCCATTATAATCCAAACCTCATCAATACCAAATTTATAAACAATATAAAACTAATGTCATAAATTCTCTATACAAAATTATGTTTTGGCAGGAGTTATTATGATCCATTATAATCCACAGATCACCAATATCAGATTTATAAACAACATATTACCGTACGCCGTCATCAGTGTTCTATACAGTATGCAGGAATTATTACAATAGGTAATCATAACCCGTAACAAAAGCAAGATTTAAACCACACTGAATTCAGCAATACTGAAGAAGTTATTAAAACTTAGTACATAAACCAAACAACTTCACCGGAAATAAATTCAGTGGCAAATGATGTGAATGTAATACTTAACAGTAGTATCGCCTGTACAATAAACATGAGTTAACATTCCTGATAAAAAAAGACCCCCGGTTCAGTGAGGTTCCAAATGAGAAATGAACCTTGCTGTAATTCTAACACTAATGCTTTCATTCTTCAGAACCGCGGGCAACACAAAATAGATTTTGTTGCAACATACCAACGTAGTTTCGGACATACCTCATTCACTAATATACACATTCAAAATACTGTAAAGTACTTAAACTCAATAGTTTCTAATCCCCGAAGCAACTGTCTTTGACCATATTTCGGGAGATTTAAAATAAAAAACCTGATACTGTAGTTAATACGGTATGTGCACTAAACCTTCACCTTCAAATTTTTAACGTATAGTATGGTTCTGGGTTCTTTTAAGAAATATCTTGCCGAAGCTGTTTATCTTGTATGATAAAACAAGCACGTGGACTTTAAATCCATATTAAGATCAAGTTTGTTTATAGAAAGACTAAGAACCCACTAAGGAATGGTGGTGTGCGCCGCAGTGAGCAGCTTAACTATCAACAACCTTCACAGCCACAATATAAAAAGCCCAAGTGATTACGGCCTTGCTGTCCACCATGTGCAGGTGATCCTTCTTACTGATCCTCAAGTGACACTGAGGTTAGAAAATAAGGACACTTGTGCTAGCTGTTGAACGCACCACTACTGGCTACAGTTTGGTCGACCTGCCACAGTAAGATATTTAATGTGTGTTTATTGCGCTGTGGTGTTTCCTAAGTTACTTTCTGCATTAATTTTGCTACTTTTTATTAGAGGGTTTTTTATTCTGAAAAAAAAATCTAAAATGGTCAAGCGTTACCTTTTTCAGCTATTCCGGAGAAATCAACATCCTCCAGTAAATAAAACAGCAAAATGTATGCAGAAAAAAACTTCCCTGAGTGAAAATGTAATGTATTTATAATTATTTAGCCTAACCTAACGTAACCTGACCTAATTCCCTAGCCCCGAGTTGTTATATAATATATAACTTATAAAAAAGAAACACTTCCCCTTAAGAGAACACTGTCACTTGCAATTAACAACAAAAATTATGGTGGAAAAGCAGTGTGTTCTTGCTAGAATCGTTGGCAGCATTAATCTACACGTTAACCAAGCATTTATATTAACTTAAATGACTACTTCTATAAATCTTACACATAAAAAAAACATTATATCTCATCATTCCCTTCACCCTGGTACTAATCCAAACCTTTTGCACGACCCAACGCCGAGTACCAAATTATCAGTGTTAAACCTCACCCTTTACTGCAGCTTCACGTCTATTTCACACCACGTTTATGGTCAATGTTTCTCCGAGGCGACTATCTTTCTTGTTTATGGTACCGAAATCACCAGTATTAAACATTAAAGTTCGGTAACGACGACCCATAATGAAAAGTGATCTTACCCCCGTGGCCAACAGCCTCACTCAACACTGTTATACACATGTTATAATTCTCACCGACAAATTCTCTTCTTGTTTTCAATTAACATTACCGGGAGTGGGTTCTTTTTTGTTGTTTCGTGGTTTTCAGATTATTCGAAATGGTAATTATTCTATACTAATTAATAATTAATATCGTATACGGGAACATAAACGCAAGAATAATTGGGAACGGATTTTCATGTGGATTCTCCAGCAATATTAGACTATCATACAGTTTACCCATAAAACAATGGGTGGCAAAATGCCTTCCTTGGAAAACTTACACGTCAGCGACCAAGTTAACTCTTCACTGTTTTTGTACTTGGCAGTCTGATCACCTCTGGCAATCCCTACCCGTACATGTGCCCCGGCCAAGGGTGTTGTCAATCTCAACAACTTGAAGAAACTTGCATGAGTGGACTATCTGATCCTTGCGCGACAGAGAATTCACTTTATTAACAACACAACCAAATGTGCTGACTGTTGTCTACATCAGCTCACTTGGGGATCGGAAAACCCCAAGTAACACCGTTTTTACCCAATTTGCAATAGAATGTGACGACGAGGAGGAAAATCAACAATACCAAGAAAAATATTTATACTTGTAAATATGCCAAAACTAACAAATTGTATTGTTTCTTGACTTACTTCTAAATATTTCCTGGATTGTGGCTTCTCCCCGACGCACCTTGAAACCTCCACTCCACCACCCTTTCCAGCCCTCACCCGCGCCAAAACTTACCCACAAACCAACAAGGCCACACTACACTATACATGAACACGCTATTTTAGTCCAAATAAATACTCGTATCTATGCGTGTCTCCATTAATTA